CAGTCCCGGTGCCACCCCGGCGGTGGCTCTGCCCACCCGTGCGATGAGCGGGGCCGGGCTCAGCTGGCTAAAGCCGGAATGGCTTTTTCCACCCCAAAAGTTTGCCGGGGAGACGGGACGGGAGATGCTGGTACCCCCTCCCCAGGCCGTCCCGCCTCGGGGTGTCCCCGGGGACCCCCACTCTGCTGGGTGCGAGGGAAAAGGGGCCGCAGCACCCCCAGACCCCCATCGCCGCCTCCAGTGTCGCCACCGCAGGGGAAACTGAGGCACGGGGTGGCCCCACGCACAGCCCCACTGCGCCTTCGGGAGAGGGTGGCGGGGGGTGCCCCCTGGGGAAACTGAGGCACGGAGCCCCAAGGCTGCGTTGGGGGGTGAGGGGCTCCGGCCCCGACGCCTGGCCAGGAGCCCCGAGCTGGCAGGGATGTGTGCTCACACTGGGTGTGCAAGAAGTGTGTGTGTGTGTGTGGTGTGTACAGCTCTGCAGGTTGTGTGCGTGTCCACTTACGCGCCCATTTCCAGCCTCACTGCAGGGGTTGTGTGTAGGTGTGCGCACGAGTGTGTACACGCGCGCCTTCGCACAGCCCCGCGTGTGCACTCAGGCGGTTTTGTGCACACGCGCAGCATCGCTGCAGGGTGTCTGTGTGAGAGACCATGTGTGTGTGTGTACACACACGGGCAGCATCACTGCAGCGCGGGTGCGTGTGTGTGTGCGCGCACATGTACAGCCTCGCTGCAGCGCGTGTGCGCACACGCACATCGTCAGAGCCGGACGGGTTCATGTGTGTGTGTGTGCGTGTGTACACACACGAGTACAGCCCCGCTGCAACGTGGTTGTGCGCGCCTCCGTGTGTGTGCACGCAGTGCAGGGCGCGCGTGTGCATGCACCAGCGCATCGCTGCAAGGCGCTGGTGCGTGTGTGCATGCACAAGCGCAGCGTCGCTGCAGGGTGGCTGCGTGCGCGTGTGTGTGTGTGTACGTTGTGGCGACGCACCCATCTTCTCGCACCCCGGGGTGCTCCCAGCCCAGGGCTCCCCCCCAGCGCCCCAACCTGCGGCCGCACGCCCGCCACGCCGCGGGGATCGATGGCAGCGGCGGGGGGCCCCCCGGGGCCCCCCCAGCCGCCCGCCC